ATTAATTATGTAGCCGTGTCAACTTTCTTCCTCTTTATAAATTCAATTTGCTGACTGTCATCTACTTTGAATGCGTGAGGAAACAAAAGATTGATTAACACGCCTGAAACTGCTGCCTAAAGCTACCAGCGTCTCCTCCACAGACATTTTCTTCCTGCCAAGGCAGACGTCGAAATCTCAACCCGTTCACTGAATATTTCCAGCAAAACGGCTCGATCATGTACACAAAAGAATTGATGAAAGGAGCCCACACGCAACAATAAGTCACCGTAATGATTCTAGTTTAAAATAATGCTACTGCTGGACCACTATGATATAGTGGGGACCTTCGGTCTCATTAATGCTGGGTAAAGATAGATGACCCAGATAAAAGACCAAAAGATTATTTCTGAACCTCTTCGTTGACCGATGCGTTGGATATTCTGCACCATATGCCCATGCAAAAAAAGAACTATATTGAAACTTTGCAAGTCGATTGAAACTGCAGGCTATTGTATCATGTATGACAGGGGTTCTCAACTGGTTTGGCCATAGGACCCACATTTTTACATGGTCATCAAGCTGTGACCCAAATTTTTAAGAGCTAATTTTAGAAATTACAATTAATTTGTATTTATTTGTTAACATACACAAGTAGTGACAGAAACATCATAAGAAAATCACCAAGACTTACAAATGAACAATATTTTATTGTTGTCATTTAACAAAATGTATCAAATTATAGGAATATTACAAAGTAAAAACGTCTAATACTGTAAACAGTGGTTAAGGTAAAGAAAAGGTTCAGTTAGCAAGAACTAATCTGAACTGTTAATAAAACATGTCTGGTTTCAAAATGTCGTTTTAATTTAGATGGTTTCACGCTCTTTCATTCATTTCTGTCTCTTCATTTTCATGCGACCCACTGAAAATGTTCCCACGACCCGCTTTTTTGTTGCGACCCACCAGTTGAGAAACACTGATGTATGTTATACAGCTATGACAGTGATTCCCAAACTTTTTGCTGTGTGCACCCCTTTCTAAAATTTGACACCTGTCAAGCACCCCTTTCTCCGATTAAACTCCACATTTTTAAGTACAATAACTAAATACAATTTTTTTTTATACATGATTAAAATAAAAATAACAAAATATGTAAATTTAATGGAGAAGCTTTTATGAAGTTGGCAATTTTCACAGTGTCATTTGGTACAGACAAAAAATCTATATGTTTTTCCATCGCTAGAGCTTCTTTGTGGATGCTACAGTGTACCCAAGAAACCGATGGTGTAACTTTTCGGTTGGAAGTTACTGCTCCTTTGTGCTTCCTTTTTTCTTCTTCTGCAGTTCCTCCAACTTTCCTTGATTAAAAAACTTACAGTCATGTCTTGTAAGTGGCTGTGTCTTGTTTGTAAGTGCTGGCCCATATATGAGGGCTTAAGACTGCTATTAGCTAAAACCTCACCACAGACTACACATTGCGGATTTGGATTTTTGTATCTCCAATCCATGTAAAACCAAAACCAAAGTCACTGTCGCTATATTTGCGTTTCTTACTTAACATTTTCTCACTCTCTAGTGTAGGCCTAATTCTCTTCATCAGTACATCTCTGCTGGATTTCTCTGTTCACGCCTACGCATCTTCACCTCGTTTGTTGACTTCTTTAAAGTAGCAGTTTATAACCAAGTGTCCATTTTGATGAATATAGTAAACAAAACAAAAAAAAGACTAATGTACTATCACTTAGCGCCGAATGTGAAATGGCATGGCTATTGTGACGCAGACTTTAAACCGCAAGATGAGTGACTATGCATAGGTTGTAAATTACAATTTCATTTAATCATTCATTTTCTTGTCGGCTTAGTCCCTTAATTAATCCTTGGTCGCCACAGCGGAATGAACCACTAACTTATCCAGCAAGTTTTTATGCAGAGGATTCCCTTCCAGCCGCAACCCATCTCTGGGAAATATCCACACACACACACACACACATCCACACTCATACACTACGGACAATTTAGCCTACCCAATTCACCTGTAACACATGTCTTTGGACTGTGGGGGAAACCGGAGCACCCGTAGGAAACCCACGCAAATGCAGGGAGAACATGCAAACTTCACACAGAAACACCAGCTGAGCCGAGGTTCGAACCAGTGACCCTGTGACCTTGCTGTGAGGCGACAGCACTTTGTACTGCACCACTGCATTACCCTACATTACTATTTGTAATGTGATTTTTTTTCTTTCTCTTTCAGTGAATTTCTTTTCTCTCAAAAATATGACATATGAAGTTTAAACCAGATCAATTTATAAAAATAATAAAAGATCTAAATTTTCCGCCGTTACAAACATTCTCTCGTGCAGCCCTGGTGGTCAGACTGCGCACCCCAGTTTGGGAACCACTGAGCTATGGGAATCAAAATGAGACCACTTGATAATTCTCTTTCTACTGGGTGCATTTAGTATGGGTTTGGTTACAATGATCTGTAATGGCCTGATTCAAAAATATTGTTCCAAATATTGAATTTTCACCTGTTTAACAATACAAAAAAATCATTGAACATAGTATTTGCTGACAATGGAATGGTACGTTTAAATGTGCTAGAAACAGTGTTGTGCTAGTTACTGAAAAATAACAACTAGTTACAGTTACTAGTCACTTCATTCATAAAGTAACTCAATTACTTTATCGATTACTTACACGAAAACGTAATGCATTACTGTTAAAAGTAATTTTTGAGTTACTTTTCCAATTAACTTTTTTAATGCTCCCATTAATGCCCTTATAAGATCACTTCAGTGCTGCATAGAAAGTACACTGTTGATTAGCTTTACAATTTTAATTAAATGCATTCTCACAACTAGAACACAAGACAGACTTAAACAAAAAGTAACTTTTAAACACTCATTTATTTAAGTCAGACCAGATGCACACAAATAATAATAAAAAAAACATCACAAGGTGATAAACCAGCTAATTAATATATTTAGAAACAAAAAAGCTAAAACTAGAGTTGCTTCAGCATCATAACAGTTTGTATTTTACCCTTAAACATGTTCTTTCACAGCTTGAGGATGAAAATAGCGGCAATATACAACAAACACAAAACCTTTGAAATAAATTAATAAAAGTCTTAATTATCATTCAGAATCAATTTGATAAAACTCAGTAGAAAAAAAAAACTGCTTTTAAAGAAAACCTAAGCATTTTTAAACGAACTAAAAACATAACAGCTGCTCAAGCATGAAACCTATGAGCAATTTTCAAACTAACAGAAATGTGTCACTGTTTCTTTTTGTTTTACAGATATCAAATATGTGCTTAATAGTAACTAATCACTGTAACGTTAATAGTCTCAGTCTCTCGCACACACACTTATTCTACCTCGTGTGCATCTCTGTTAATTAAAATAATATTTCAGTCACCAAACTTATTTAAAAAATGAAAGATAATGCAATTAAATTCAGGCAAAATATTGCAAATAAATATATATATATACAACCTACAAAATTCTAACTAAATTTTTCTTTTTTTTTTTTGCTTCGCTTTTTTTTTTCCTTTCTTTTTTATTTGTATTTAATATTTTTCTACAATTTGGGTGTGCTAGTTTTTGACGGTTATTGTAAATTATTTTGTAAGATAAGCTCCAGATTTGGCTTCAGTATTGACTAATCTAATGTATATGCACAATTATAACATTGTATAGCTTCCTGTTAAAATTGTGGATTTTAAGGATAGATTTGTGAGAGGTGTACTTATATAAGCTGAGCACTGTACATGAGTGTGTGTGGTCAAGGGTTTCGCTTTTCTGCTGTATATGCAGTCATAGTATTTTATTTTATGAGATTAAAATTACAAACATCTTTATACACAATATAAACTCTGTTATATCCATATATATATATATATATATATATATATATATATATATATATATATATATATATATATATATATATATATATATATATTTTTTTTTTTTTTTTTTTTTTTTTTTTTTCACTTCAAAGTTTTTAGTTGAAGACTTTTACGCTACATTCACAGATTGTGTGATGTACAGCAGTGCCTTTGTACTTTTTGTTTTGCTTCAAAGATACACTTGTTGTTGACACTTGTCGTTTGTTGTAAAAACGGCATCTAGATGTTCACAATGTTCTCATGCCCCAGTTTGATAAACTGTCATTGTCTTAGAATGGTCAATAAAAGGAACAATTGAGTATTAATAAAAAATTTTAAAAAGTCTTTGTTAAGCTGCTTTGACACAATCTACAATTTAAAAGCGCCATATGCAGAAAGATGAATTGAATTGAATCAATGTTCAGTTTAATGCAACTGACCCAGCATCACAATGACATTTTGCTTTATAATATCATCTTTAAATGATTTTCTCAAGCAAATGAGACAAGCTAGTCTTTAATTATAGGACAATGATCCATTCAAAAGGGAATCATCATGTTTCTGAGATGTTATGGTTAAAAAAAAGAGAAAAAAAAGACCATTAAAGAGTCTCGCTTTCTCTATATTCTTCTCAGAGAATTTAATAAATCCAAAATTTCATTGTTTCTCCCTGGGATCTGTCCTTTTGCCGAGCGAGCCGCTCATCTCATTGTCTTTTAAAAGTCAAACCCAGTTTGCCATGGAGACGCGTTGCACTTCGGTGGCATGACCGTTTTCGAGGTACATCCCACTGTCATCGAACAATGATAAAAAGCCCCTGTATTGACCGGCTCCACACTAAATCTTGGTAAAGAGCACTTAGCTCCCCTGTGCAAGCCGCGGAGCGAATACCTGTCAATGGCCATCAGTGAACACTTTCATCCTCTGGCTCCTCTCCATATGTTAGCCGCCGCCTCGGAGCGCTTGTGCATTTAGGGAACCGCAGTGCTCTTTTTGTCCTCTGCCCTATTTGCTTTGCCTTATTGCTGTTGTGCTTTTACTCCCACACAGTGTGGACTGGTATGTGCAAGTCAGAGTATGTGAATGCGTTCTACATGATCTCTCTTTGTCCTCTTTTACAGAAGGTGATGAGACAGGTGTGATGGACAGCCTGATGGAGGCCTTGCAGTCTGGAGCCGCTTTCCGTGACCGGAGGAAACGAACCCCGCGCAACGGTAATACCTCCATCTCTTCGCATTTTACATGCCTTTGAATGAAGAAGTTCAAATAAAACCTCTGTCATGTTTTACTACTTTTAAACCTGTATGGCTTTTTATGGATAGGATATAGAAAGTAGATTGTGTAAATAATATATATGAAATAAAAAAGAAGACATTTTGAAGTTCATGCATTAAACATTATGTTGCGCTTGAACGTTATTAATATAGAAAGGAAACAACATGATCATACTTATTCTCAATTTGTCTGTTTCTTAATTAATAAACAGTTACTTGACTACATATAAATATATACTGTATATAAAATGCCCTTGTTATACAGTGGAGGAACGATGAAGTCAATTCGTATACAAAAACGCGGAAGTGAGTTAGCATTTTAACAGTTCCGGTTCCCTCATGCCAAAGCCAATGGGTTTTTCAAATGAGATTTTGGTTAAATCGCTTAAATAAGGTTTGTGGGTACCTCAAACTCAAGATACTTGAACGTTTTATTTCACAACATTCAACACATCCGTTACATCTCACTCTTGATTTTTCAAATTGGTTACACTTCTTTAAAAAGATGGTTGCTATCATGTTGCTAAATGGGACTATAGACAGGTGTCTGAGACATTATACGTCATCAAGCTGAACTGGTCTGGAACACAGCTCGCTTGCATTGGGCATTTGGATTTGTCTGTTATTTAAATATTTTCAAAAGTAGTTTTTTTAAAACTTGTATTTTCTAATTGGGAATTCATATTGTGCATAGATTATGCCTTCATTTGTAGAGACAGTCATGACAGATAAGTTGTTAATCATTTACTTAAATAAAGCACAACTTTAAGAAGATACTACTGCAGCTAGTCCTGCTCTCAGTAATGCAAATGTGTGAATAAATTTGTAAAAATATCTAAATATTAATTGTGATTTTAACATGATACATTGATTTTTCGTTGTTTTTTTCTTCATCTGAACACATTTAACTCTGTCATAACTGCAAAATTTATAGCATATGTGACTGTATGGGCTCTTTTCGCTGTACTTCGTGAAAAAAACAAATATTTTATGTTGTTTCCTATTCATGATGGAACTTATACGATACACTAATTTAAATATGTCTTATGATAAACTTTTGAAAATACTACGCAGGCACGTTTACAAAACACACAGTACATGTTTTAAAACTTTTACACACTGAGAAAGGTATCTTGCCGAAACGTTTGTGTTTTTGAATCAACTGAAGAATGTTAAAATAACAGCAGTATGAAGCAATTACTTGATGAGTGCGAATCATTACCTTTTTGGTTAAAACTTTAACAACCATGAAGCAAAAAAACCCACGTAAAAAATATCCAAGACACGCAGATCTACATACAGATGTGTTGTTTGTGGATTTGTATTTGTTTATGATAAATAGTGTGGATTATAATATAATAAACTAGAGTAACTAGAGAGTAAATCTTTGTCATGGACCATACTTCTAAAAATAAGCTAGAAAAGTTGTCGTTAGCAGGGTGGTGCTGACGTAACAAGCGTACGCCTCGAAGGTACTGTCTTTTTATAACCTAATGTTAGCTTTTCAGTTCTTGCGTTTACATTTAAAATACAAAAGTGATTAAAGTTATATTTTCGTGTGAGGATTATCCAGTTAGACAAAACTTGTAAGTGTAATGAACTGTGTTTGAACACAAAGCTTATTATTTGCAATCTCGAAAAGTGTATGGGAAAATACTATGGGGATTTTATCGAAAGTGACGTCATAGTTCCTCCATTTTATACTAACCGAACTGTTACCAAACTTGAAAGCATGCATACAGTTAGTAACTGCTTTAAAATATATAAATATTTGATCATAAAATCATTCAAAAAATACAAATAAATGAAATTAGTCAAAAAATAAAGCAAGTAAAAAGTGTCAAATACTATAATATATATAATAACTACAATTTTAATATAATTTAAATTGACTATTGTTAAAGATGATTCATTATTTTATTTTAATATATTTTTTTAATTGGTATGATATTAAGAAAAGAAATCATTCATTTTTTGGCAGTGAACTATCAATTTTAATAATGAAAACCCCAAAGTAGCCCTTCAGCTTCACTTTTTATTGCTCTTCTCTTGCTCTCCGCTCTCAAACTGTTTTCACATAGGATTCATTGCCGCAGTACCATTCATAAGTCACTGATTACAGAAACTGATTGTAGACTTTGGGTCCTTAGAGGATGGTTTAACATAATCTTAATGTTAACATATTCCATCTTTCCATGATGAATTGCGGCGACCCAGGGGAGAAGAAGCAGACCACCTGCTGTAGGTGCTACGCTGAATTGAAATGCCAAGGACGAGCAGACAAGTGTCTATAACTGCTGTAGCTTTTCCAGAACAGCCTCATTCCATGCCCCCAATAAGTCAGTCTTTTCCCAAAGTCCTTGTCCATGCATGCTTACGGTGCATAAACCAGCTTGTCATTAGAAATTCTCCAGGGATGTGTTGAGATATAGGATGTGTACAGAAAAAATATATATGAAAATAAAAACCTCAGCATCATTAGAAAAGCCCGATAAGGAAAACATGTCAACAAACATCACTGCTCTGCGCAGGAAGAGGCCAGATCTCCGCATCAGATGTTCCTAATCTCCATATACCAACATTCTCAGCAGCACGGATTTGTCCCTGCAGATTTCTGGCTACACAAACACACACACACACACACACACACACACACAAAAAGTTCTTGCCATGATCTCCAGTGTCCGGTTGTTGCACATGTTAGTGACAGATTTATATAAAAATATGTTACATAATAAAAACGAGGGTAAGTAAAACTATTGACTATATTATAATTAGTTTATATTTAATTAAATACTCCTTAAAATTTGATGATCACTGAAAGGCTTTCTTTGGTTTAAATGCGATCTTACATGAAGTATTTAAGTATTATTTATATTTTTATTATTTTTGTAAAGGATTTTCTCACAATTTCTGCCTGGTAAAACGTTTTAGAGCAGGGATATCCAAACTTGGTCGGGCAGAGTTTAGCTTAAAATTCCCTCAGTACACCTATCTGGCTGTTGTAAGACTAGTAAGACCCTGATTAGCTGTTAATTAGAGTTTAGAAGCTAAACTGTTTTAGATCAGTGGTCCTACAGGAGCAGGACTGTTTTAAAGCTGTAATAAAATATTAAAATAAGAATCAATATAACTTTTCACACTTCAAATCTACAGTGTTTCTCAACCACATTCCTGGAGGACCACCAATGCATGTCCACAGCATGTTTTGGATGTCTCCTTTGTTTGTCAAACCCATTTCACATCTTTCAGTCTCTGCTAATGAGCTGATGATCTGAATTAGGTGTGTTTGGTTAAGGAGACATGGAAAATATGCAAAGCTGGTGGTCCTCCAGGAACATGGTTGAGAAACACTGTCTTAAACCCTGGATAAATGGAATATTAGGTTATCTTTAATCACATTTCAAACTTCACATGGGGTTAATGATAAATCCTGTGTGTTTATTAATAGACGATTGAAAGTGTACATTCCTAAACCCTGGGTTAACATTCTTAATGGAACATTGTCAGTCACAAAGAGCAGCCAAATTTTTACATTACATTTCCACATCTTGTCAGTTCTTTAAAAAAAACGTAATCACAAAAACTTTAGTTGTTTTAAGCCTTACAAGATACGTAAAGACAAAAAAATAGAATAAAATAAAAGACAGAGGGGATAAAAGAAAGAAAACAAGTAGCAAAGTATATGAATATCTCCTTGAATTCCTTTTGAGTTGTATCTCATCGGCTGCGGCTTACACCTTGCATGTGATGTGATGTAAACTTTGCCTCTACATAGCGGGCATAACATTACAGTGTTGGGGGTAACGCATTGCAGTAATGTAAGTAATTACTAGTAATTTCTAAGTAACGAGTAAAGTTTTAAAGTAACAAGCAAGTAAAGTAAAACATATTACTATTAAAAAATAAGTAATAATATTTCAGTTACTTTTTAAAAAAAATTTATGTGAGTTACTTTTTAACTTAATTAATTCGCTATTAAAAATTGCTGAATTAAAATAAAAGTTGTCACAAAGAATTACGCAGTCAATAAGAGAAAGTGTTCATTATTTTTGAAATTGAAGAAAAGTAAAAGGGAATTGTCTTAATTGACAGTGATTTTACTTAAGACAAATAGTACCAAAACAAATAGTACAAAAGTAACACATTACAATGTATAGCTCTGAGGTTAGGAAGTCCTAACATTTTTGTTTTGATGTGTAAATGTGTACAATTTTAAGGTAAATGTAGGTTTTGGTTACACAGTGTGTTGTTAATTGCAGAGGTCCTCTATTTAAAAAAAAATAATAATAATAAAAAGTTCTGAAAGAGATCAAGCCTCAGCCTGGTAATAAAAAATAGCTCAAAAGTAATGTAATGCATTACTTACCATAAAAAGTAACTTAGTAAATCAACTAGTCACCTTTTTTAAAGTGTAACTTAATATTGTAATGCATTACTTTCAAAAATAAATTCCCCAACACTAACCACAAATATGGTACTCCCCGGAGCAGGGTTTCATAACCCTAGGTTAAATCCTTTACATGTGGTTAAAATGCAATGTTTAGAATGACAATAACCTGGGGTTAAGTGAAGTGTGAAAAGCATATATACAGTTGAAGTCACAATTATTAGCCCGCTTGTGATTTATTATTTATTTTTTATCAAATATTTCCCAAATGATGTTCAACAGAGCAAGGACTTTTTAAACTGTATTTCTGATAATAAATTTTCTTGTGGAGAAAGTCTCATGTGTTTTGCTTTGGCTAGAATAAAAGAAGTTTTCAATTTAAATGTTCCAATTGTCTACAGAACAAACCTCTGTTACTGTATACAATGACTTAATTACCCTAATTACCTTAACTTGCCTATTTAACCCAGTCATTAAATGTCACTTTAAGCTGAATACTAGTATCTTGAAAAATATCAAGTAACAAATATCTAGTAACATATTATTTACTGTCAGCATGACAAAGATTACAGAAATCAGTTATTGGAAATTAATTCTTTAATTCTTTTGATTTGGCCCTCCATCCCATCTGAGAAGAGGTGAGAATTTTGGGGGCATGCCTTTAACAGAGATTGTCATTTCTAATTTAACATAGCTTTTGTTTTTTAAATGTTGAGCTAAAAAAAAGCAAACTAAAATAAAAAAAGTTTCAATTAAATGTTGTGCATGAATCAGTTTAAAAAAACACACATAAATAAATAAATAAATTCAATTCAATTCAATTCAGCTTTATTTGTATAGCGCTTGTACAATGTAGATTGTGTCAAAGCAGCTTCACATAAATGGTCATAGTAACTGGAACAGTGTGGTTCAGTAACTGGAACAGTGTGGTTCAGGTTTTAGTGTTTAAGTTCAGTTCAGTTCAGTTCAGTTTAGCTCAGTTCAGTGTGATTTAATCATTACTGAGAGTTCAAACACTGAAGAGCCAATTCATCGATGCGTAGCTCTACCAATCCTGAACCATGCGAGGCAGTGGCGACAGCGGAGAGGGAAAAAAAAACTTCACCTGATGGGAGTGAAGAAAAAAAACCTTGAGAGAACCAGACTCAGTTGGGCACGACCATTTTAATTTCTCCGCTAACCAAAAGTCTTGTGCAGAACTTCATTCGCCGTGGTTTATGCTGGAAGATGGCCTCAATGAAGACTCGTCTGTCCCTGGAGCGTCGCTGGAATCAGACTCATGTCCTCCACTCCCCACGACCATCAACGCAGCAGCAGCTCAGGATATGGCCTGGTCCCGGATATGGAATCCTTGGGATCATCACGTCGCTAAATAAATAAATAAATAAATAAATAAATAAATAAATACAGATAGCGGATAGTGCAGAAGACATCAGCAAGCGAACCAAGGCAAAGTGTATTTTTCTAGTGTTATCAATGGGACAATTAAAGTATCTTAAATGTAATAAATTATAATATTAATTAAATTATATAATAATTAATTTTAATAATAAATTAGGAAATTACGCAGACAACTTTACAGTTTGGTATATTTACCTCCACTCCGGCCAGCTACCCTCAAGTTTAATTTTTGGCCTTTCATAAGAAAAAGTTTGGGTATCCCTGATATACAGGGTCTAATAATTCAGCAGGGCTCATAATTCTGACTTCAACTGTATATGTATAAAAATAAGTCCTTGTCCATGCATGCTTGCATAAACCTGCTTGTCATTACAAATTCTCAAGGGATGTAGTGAGATATATACTGTATGCATAAAAAATACATAAAAATAAAAGCTCAGCATCATTAGAAAATCCCGATAAGAAAAACATGCCATAAGAACATCACTTCTCTGAGCAGGAAGGGTCCAGATCTCCACATCAAGAAGTTCCTAATCTCGATATACCCGCATGCTCAGCAACACTGATTTGTCCCTGCACTGTTTTTTCGGGCTTCATCTCATCCTACAAAAAAGTTTCTCCCATGATCCCCCGTGTCAGTGCGGAGGTCTAATAAGAGGGCATGAATAAGTAAGGTGTCATGCTGTATCAAACCTGTCTCCCACTCAGCGGGGCTCCCGAGTCCCCCAAGCGCTGCCCCATGACAGAGGCTGCCATTCGTCCACCGCTGCCTGCTCACCAACTCCATCCAGCAGCTCTGTGGCCCAGTCTCCCTGACATCTGTTTGAATAAGACTGACATTTAGGAGAGAAGAGAGTGTGTAGATTAAACCTCACCAGTGCTCTTTCTCTCTATTCTGTCTCTTTCTTGTGCTCGGTGTCGCTCTCTCTCTCTCTCTCTCTCTCTTTCAGCCTTTCTCTTTCTTTTTCTGATGAGTGTGTGGGCTGAGGTTTGACAACACTGAGAGTTTCAGAGTGGATAATTGGTTACGAACTCCTGAAATACCTCTTGTTTGACGTCTTTCCTTCTTTTCTCTCTCTCTCTCTTTTTCTGTCTGTCAATTTTCACTTCGTCGCTGTTGCAGGTGATCAAAGTCCATCCTGTTCTGCACCTAGGTGGCCGGGTGCTAACCATGGTAAAAAATAATAATAATAAAATGTGCCTGTGTTTACCCCATGCACCCTGCTATTCTCCCTTTTAACACTTGCTTATTGCTGGCACTCGATTAAACGTTTAGGTTGAACTCTAAGGTAACTACTCTGAGCTCCACAACTGGATGTGTTGGTCAGATGATAGATGTTCTCTTGGGCTTTGTTCAGAAATGCTGCCAGAATCAGATCCCCCCCCCCCCCCCCCCCCCAACTTTCATGTTTAATTGTTTAAATTTTAAATATCAGAATCAGTTTTTTACAAACTTACATTATTTTTGAAAATGTTACAGTCTGAATAGCCATGTTAGTGGTATATTTCTTTCCCAATATGAGTTGTGAAAGATCAAAATAAAAATATTACAATAAAATGGTTTATATTAGCCACTAATTAACAATATAAATGTCAAATGTATATTTCTGTGAAGTTTAAAAGTATATATTTGCAGTTGTGCTTTTTTAATTACTTTTTATTTTTAGAACATGACAACTACATGAAAAGTTGCTGCAGTTAAAGCAGAATACATTACATAATGAAGTGATTACTTTCAAAAAATATATTTGTGAAGAGTTTTTTTATTTATTTTTTTTTGCAGAATCGACTAGTGTGTATGCATTATAGTTAGAAAAGAGCAACAAATTGTGACTTTACCTGGAAAATATTTCAAATTAACTTCAACATTTTTAATTGTAACTTTTTGCACATTAACAGTTAAACATTGAAGGTTAATTTTACTCAGGGTAAAAAAAGCTCTTTCCCTACCTTCCTTTATTGCAATAAAGTGATTATGCAGTATCCTATACTGAAGACTTGAAGCTATATCACTTCAAGGATCATCCCTGAAATTGCATGCAATCTGACAACATCTCTTCTCATGTTTTAAAAAATTCTATGGGGAACACTTTCCCAAAAAACATATTTATCCTACTGTACCCAATCTGGTTTAAGATGGGATTGAACTGGCGATTCTTTGCATAGGAGTCAGTTCCTCTAACAAGAAGGCTAAAGTCTTCTTTTGAGGTCAGTGAAGTAAGGTTTACCTGCAGAGCACTTTTCTAGCTGGCCTTCATTACACTTACCCCATAAACCTCACTCCATCCCTGGACGAACCCCCACGTGCAACCCTCTGGTCCCAATTCACCCAACTCTGTCGGAACTGGGATCGAACCGGCGATTATTTGCATTTGAGTTGGTTTCTTTACCTTACCTTACCTTATCTTACTCCCATCCTGGACGAACCCCCACGTCACGTGCGACCCACTGGTCCCAATGCACCTAACCAGGTCTGAGCTGGGATCGAACCCGTAATCTTTGCATTGGAGTCGGTTGCTCTACCAAGGAGGCTACATTTTATGGTCTCCAGTGTGTGTTACCAGAGCACCTTTTGAGGTCAAAGGAGTGAGGTTTACCTAGAAAGCACTTCGCTAGCTGGCCTCCGTTACATTCACCTCCGCTAAACCTCCCTTCCATCCTGGACAAGCCCCCATGTTTAATCCACCGCTCCTACTGCACCCAACCTGGTATGTGTATGGATCGAAGAGGCGATTCTTTGCATGGGAGTTGATTGCTCTAACAAGAAGGCTAAAGACCATAGCCTCCAGCATCTGTCACCAGAGCACCTACTGAGATTAGAGGAGTGAGGTTTACCCTAGATAGCACTTCTCTAGCTGGCCTCTATTACACTTACCCACACAAACCTCACTTCCATCCTGGACAAACCCCCATACCCACTGGTTCTACTACACCCAACCCGGTCTGAGCTGGGATTGAACCAGCAATTCTTTGCATGGGAGTCAGTTGCTCTAACAAGGAGACTAAAAACCATGGCCCCTAATGTCTGTCACGAGTAGTGAAGTTTTCCTGCATAGCGATTTGCTACCAGGCGTCCGTTACACATATAAATATAATATTTTTTCCCAATTTACAATGTAATCTATTTTATATCTGAAGAAGTTTTTTGGGGTATGTTAATGAGATTCAGTTAATATTATTATTATTATTATTATTATTATTATTTTTATTTATTTATTTATTTATTTATTTATTTTTATTAAATCAAATTAGAAGACAAAAAAATCTTCAACAAAGCTATAAAAGAAAAATCATAATTGACATGAGCTGAGGGAATATTTCCCATTTTTAAACAAATCAAATTTAAGAGCACAGTGAACAAAGCCCTAAAATTATTAGACTTCCACTGATTTCCATGAGTGCATTGATTAAGAATTGTCTACAAAGAGTGTGATTGCTTGTTTTGTTCACATAATCTATATTAAGTAAGATCCATTTAGCAGGAATCATCCACAGTGACTGGTCTCTGTCCTCTCCAGTAGTCGGAGCTCAGGCTAGTTTCTGCTGCTATTAGCTGTCCTACAGTAGATGACCTAACTAGTGCACCCTTACAGTGATGAAGCATGGCAGCACGTCCACGCCTGTGGAAGGCGAATAGAAATGATCTGTCTGAAGGGTCATTGCTTTTCTTAATTCCCATTCATGGATTCTTTCTCTCTTTACTCTTCCTCTAAAGCTTCCTATTCTGCCTGAGTGTCATCCTATGCACAAAGCTCTAAAAATGCTCGTTTTTTTAATAGATTCTAGTCTTTCACTGCCCTGGCCTACTTTAGAAGCGCTATGACAGAGCTTTATTGCATACAGTCACGCGTCGTAGTGTGTGTCTGGCTTTTTAAAAAGTGTGTATTCCAGTTTCTTATATTCTATATGCCGGAAATGACTTGATAATATGTGCACGACACAGAATCCTCTCGCCATTATGCTTTGCACGCCTGTGAATGGCACCCGCTGCAGAAATGCCTGTGAAAAGCATATTCAGTAGCACACTGAGCCCTTTGGTGAATGTGTACATTATTTATGATGTCAGTGAATATGTTTTATCTTGTAACTTTCTGCTGTTTTACTGATATGCTACATGAACCGTTCAGAATACACAAGTATGAATTCATTGCCTGGATCGGCAAACGTTGTACATGTCATAACGCTCCAGGGCTTCAGATTCAGTGACCTGATCCTGAGTAGAGCTTGAATGACTTTTTGTATGGATCAGCATTTGTCTGCGTTTTTAAGAAGACTAACCTTGACCCTTTACACATATGTTGCCAATAGATTTGCATTACTTGTTTACACTTATACTTTTCACCCCATTTTGTACAAAGATATATATCATTTGAAAGTTATACAAATATGTTTTTAAGACATGATAGTTGTGTGATTTTTGTCGTAGTACTTTTTGTAATTAAAAGTAGTACTAGTTAAAACTGAACTACTACTCTGTAAAACCCAATAAGTTGAGGTAACACACATCATTTGAGGAAACTGATTGCAACAAACTATTTAAGTTCAAGAACTAATCCTGATGAGTACTGTGAACTTAATCCATTTAAGTAAACAAAGCAATTTGAGCACAGTAAAACCCAATAAATGAAGAAAACTTTAAACAATTGAGTACTGTAAAACCTAATAAATTAAGGCAACTCAAACTTTAAGGAAACCGATTGCTACAAACATTTTGATTAAACTATTGGTAAATTTTGAGTTAACTACACTCATTTCATTTGCTAAAGTTTACTGTTGTATTATACAGTGTATTTATGCATAAAAATATGTTTTTTGCATAAAAATGAAGTTTTCATTTTCAAAAGAACTTTAAGTATGTTTATGCAAACATTTGCTCCAGCTGATCAGTTTTTCAAGGTTTTTATACACACTGTACATATAGCAGTATGAACATGCAGAACAAGAGTTGCTGTTCACACAGATCCACAAAAACAACTAAAATGCTAAACTTTTAGGTTGCCAGGTCCAGTACCAATACATAACACACATGCACATGATTTAAAAAGAAAATAAATCATGTTTTATACATACAGTAGTTCACATGGAGACATGAATACAAGTACAATTTTACTTTCAGACTTTCATCTAAAATATTTCTTGCATAACAGCATGATAAATACTCCTTACAAAGAGACAACGACATTTTACCTGGACCTTATTCAGCTCCAAGACAGCCTGATGTACAAATTACCTTTTTTATCTCACTTTATTAAAACTTGAAACTCTAAATCGACTTTAATAGTATAAATTCATGGTCAAACACATGACTAGGGTTCAAAATAATATTTTTTGCCAGCCTTGGGAGGTTATACGAGTGGTCATATATTTTTCTGTAGAGGCTTTCCTACTATCTTTAAACAGATTTTTATCTGGTTCATCAACTTTTTGGACTCACAGGCAGATTTAAACACCATACTGAATTACAATACTGCACAACACAAGTTCATAAGTACGGACATAAAAAAAAGTTCAAGAATCTTTTTCAATGCTTCAAAAGATCTAAGTCGATGCAAAAAAAAAAAAAAGCTTCTTTGTTTTATCTTATTACACACACAGTATCAATATGATCTTTCCATAAAACCTTGTTGTGTATTATTACACCCAAATACTTATATTTGTCTACCTGTCTGATGTTTGCCTTATGTATAACTACAGGGTTTGTAGATACATCAAACGTTGTAGACCTGAACACGATTTCCTTTTTTTTTTTTTTCTTGGTTAATCACAAGAGCATTTTTGTCACACCACTCCACAAGATTATTCACACCTCACATGTGCAATCACTTAACTTCTACCTTGCTTTTAAAAGTTATTAATACTGTATTGTCTGCATACTTTAAGATGACTTGATTTATTGGTATTGAAAGTAAGTTTTTTCAGTCATCAAAATGTCATTGTGTACGCAGATGCCCTACATGCATTAAACACGTTTAGTTGAAAATATTGTCGTTTATATACACACTCTTAGAATTATAAAGTAGTCATTTAATGTTTCTATAAAAAAAGACTTAAAAGTAATCCTAAAATAATGCTAATTTGGCTTATTAGCAATATAAAATATTTACAGGCTGCTGATATCAAGAATATTAATCAAGCTGAGAATATAAATGATGTTTGAGCTGTGTTTGCTCAGAC